TAATAGCATATTAGTTAATTTGCACTGAGAAACGCTGGTGTTCCTTTTCTGCCACTCTAGTTACTACCACTCCTGGGGTTGCTGACGTGGACTTGTCCTCTGACAAAAAATGGGCACAGTTACGTTACAGAGTTGATGTTATCATAATTTCTTGTGCTATTTTAACATTTATCCTCGTTATGGACACCGCAGTAAGAAAACTTTTATTCTCTGTTCCTCTCTGTGAAATGATTTGAGCACGCTGTTAGTTTGCATCGTATTAATGTTTTAACCGTAATTGCACCACTGTGAAGAACGCTCCTGTCCTCTGTTACCCACTCTGGCGTGAGCAGAATTGCAGAGCATTGTCGATGTTTGCATTTGTGTGACCGTAATACCTGAGGTTACTCCTTCTATAAGGAGGGAAGATTTTCTTCTAAACCAGAGGGGGGGTCTGTTCATCCGTGATGGAGTTTCTGTGAGGTAGACTCAGGTACCCAGTAGCAGTAGCAAGGATAGTGACGTTTTCAGGGTGCTTACCTGTGGTAGGTGCTGTTCCAGGTGCCTTGCCGATCATTTGGTAACTCTTCTTGCCAACATCCCTATAAGGTAGCTGATATAATGATCACAGTTTTGCAGTTGAGGAAAATGAGAGGTTAAGTGTCGTCCCTGAGGTTGCACAGTGAGTACCCGGGGAAGCCTGGATTGGAACACAGGATCTAATCTGAGTCCTAACTCCAAGCTCTTTACCTCTGAGCCTCTCGTGGTGATTAACAGGATGTAGTCACACGTCACTGGTATTTTTACGGGCGTGTATCAGTAGTATTAGGCTGCTGTATCAGTGAAGAAGGTTGGCATTCCACGTTCTTGTCTGTGAAATGGTCACAGGTCCAGGTCATGGTCGGGGTCAGAGGTTGGCAGGTGTCGATGATGGAGAGCCACTGGTCGGTAGAGGGGTAGGGGGCAGTGGTCTCTCCCTCCTGCTTTTGTTGGGAGACTCGGCTGGGGAAGCTGGGGACACAAGCCCCCCGGGGACGGAATCCTAGCCCATCCAACATACCTCACAAATGCAGTGCGTCTGGCCGCGGCCTGGCCCCGAGCCTCCTGACAGACAGGGTGGAAATGACGACAGAAGGCAGCAGTGAGTGGCACCATCCCTGATGCTCCGAAAGGGGGTTACAGCCGCTCTCTTTCCTTCCCGCCCCGGTACCACCCTCCCTGCTTACAGGAAGACACGGCACGTCAACATCCTGCTGTTCATGGGCTTCATGACGCGGCCGGGCTTCGCCATCATCACGCAGTGGTGCGAGGGTTCCAGCCTCTACCACCACCTGCATGTGGCCGACACGCGCTTCGACATGGTCCAGCTCATTGACGTGGCCCGGCAGACCGCCCAGGGCATGGAGTGAGCCTCCCGGCCTGGGGGTGAAGGGAGGGGGCCGGGGGGCTTGGGGCGGGGGGATGAGGTAACCCCGCGCGCTGGCCAATTTGCCTTCTACTTCCACCCCTACAGCTACCTCCATGCCAAGAACATCATCCACCGAGATCTCAAGTCTAACAGTATCTGCCTGTCCCTGTCTGCGGGCTTGGGGGGGGGGGGTGGGGGCTCAGTGGGGGTGGCTCTTGTTGGGGGGCCCTCTGGAGATGCATGGGGAGGGACACGTGTCACGTGGCTCAATAGGGGCTCTAATGGGGGGGTGTCTCTTGGTCAGGACTCAAGGTTGTGGCTGATTCGGGTGCTGTTGTTGGGGACTTTGGTCAGGGTCCAAGCTATGGGAGCTGTGGAGGGCATGGCAGGTCTGGGTGCCGCTCGAGGGGCTTCCTGGCTAGGAGCCGCGGTGGGGGGGGCAAGCATAGGGGGCATTAATTGGAGTTCCCCACTCAAGTCAAGATTGTAGCTAGTTTGTGTGATACCGGGGGGCTTCTGGTCGGGGTCAGAGGCATGGCTGGTGGGGGGGGCGTCAATGGGAACCGCCCAGTCAGGGTGGGAGACGTGGCTCTTGGGAGCTCCTCTAGTGGCCCTTGACCCTGGTGGACATCTTCCTACACGAGGGGCTCACGGTGAAGATCGGTGACTTCGGCCTGGCCACGGTGAAGACACGGTGGAGTGGGGCCCAGCCCTTGGAACAGCCCTCAGGCTCCGTGCTGTGGATGGTGAGTTGGGCCAGGCTGGACTGCGGCCATCCAGATGGGGGCGTGGGTGGCTGGGGCGGGATGTGGGGAGCTGCGTGGGGTGGGGATGCTTGTGCCAGATGGGGGCGTCTAGACTGCTCATGCTTTACCCCACGTGGGTGCTCTGAGTTGTACCCAGTGTGGTTAGTGGGATCTGGGACAGTGGGCGGCCATTTGCTGACCTCCATGGTTCCCCCCTGCCTGGTCTTCCCTATTGAAGGCGGCTGAGGTGATCCGTATGCAGGACCCGAACCCCTACAGCTTCCAGTCAGATGTCTACGCCTATGGGGTTGTGCTCTATGAGCTCATGACCGGCTCGCTGCCCTACAGCCACATTGGCAGCCGTGACCAGGTGGGCCCCACCCTTTACCCATAATCTCCCAGGCACAGACCCCAGATTTCCTCCTTTGTAAAGACCGAGAATGCCACACTTCCCCCAGAAACCCAAAATCTTCTGGGTTGAGAGCTCTCAGCATCCTCTGGGCTTCCCTACCTAGAATCCCCTCCTTCCCTACATATCTACAGTCCTCTGGGTCCTTGAAGTCCAGAACCTGCCATGGCCCCCAAACACACCCAGAAGCCCCCTGGAACTCTAGATACCTACAGTCCTCTGGCCTGGGTACTCAAAATCCCCCAAGTGCCAAAGCCCAGAATCCCATTTCTCCCAGTGACAGAAGCCGTCTGTGCTTCTGGAATACTCACAGATACCCACAGTCATTCAGGCCTTGGGTATCTGGCAGGCTTTGGGGGCCCTGGAACCCATGATACTCTGGGCCCCAGGCTCTCCGAGTTCTCCACGTTGAAGGCCTCCAGGCCATCAGAAACCTGGGATCCTCTAGGCTCCAAGCACTGAGCTGTCACAATCCTACAGGCCACCTGGACCCATAGTTCTCTAGGCACCAGACCCCTACAGAAACACAAGCCCCTGAGTTTTAGACTCCTTTAGCTCCTCCAGACCCAGAACTTCGTGTTTCCCCTGACTCAGTACTTTCTAGGCTTGTAGAAACCTAGGAGGCCAGGGATACCTGTAATTCTGGATTTCTCCCAAGCTTCAATCCCTCTGTTCTGCAGAGAATCCCTGTCCTCAGAGACCCAGTCCCAAGTCCTCAGAGACCCAGTGTCCTTGGATCCACAAGATCCCCATAGCCCTCCAGACCCCAATACCCAGAGTACCCTAGTTTCCCCCCAAAGGAGCCTCCAAAGCCCCTTGAGACCCAGAATTCCCTCAGCCTCCCAGCCCAGACCCCCAGATCACCCCATTCCTGTCCCTCCAGATTATCTTCATGGTGGGCCGTGGCTATCTGTCCCCGGACCTCAGCAAAATCTCCAGCAACTGCCCCAAGGCCATGCGGCGCCTGCTGTCTGACTGCCTCAAGTTCCAGCGGGAGGAGCGTCCCCTCTTCCCCCAGGTGGGCCTGGTAGGAGGGCTGGATACACTGGGGAGGTCGGTGCTCAGGAGGAGGAGGACTCCGGGGTGTCAGTGGGAATTGTGCAAGTTCAATGCTCAGAAGTGTACGGCGTGTGTGCGTGTGTGCGCTTCCCCAGTAGGCTGGGGTTTGTGGGTGTCGGGGTGCCCATGTGGCTCCGGACACCCCCCCTAACCTGCCCTTGCCCCCAGATCCTGGCCACGATTGAGCTGCTGCAGCGGTCACTCCCCAAGATTGAGCGGAGTGCCTCCGAACCCTCCTTGCATCGCACCCAGGCCGATGAGCTGCCTGCCTGCCTGCTCAGTGCAGCCCGCCTTGTGCCTTAGGCCCTGCCCCCAGCCACCCGGGAGCCAATCTCAGCCTGCCACGCCAAGGAGCCCTGCCCACCAACCAATCAATGTTCTGTTTCTGCCTTGATAACTGCCTCAGGATCCCCCATCCCCGTCCTGGGAGATGAGCGGGTCCCCATGTGCTTTTCCAGTTCCTCTGGAATTGGGGGACCCCCGCCAAAGACCGAGACCCCTGCTTCCTCCATGATTTGGTTTCCTCTTGCCTTTGGGGATACTTCTAAATTTGGGAGCTCCTCCATCTCCAATGGCTGGGAGTTGTGGCAGGGATCCCACTCAGAACCTCTCTGGAATTTGTGCCTGATGTGCCTTCCACTGGATTTTGGGGTTCCCAGCACCCCCTTTGGATTTGGGGGGTCCCCTCTGTGTCTTCCCCACCATTCAAGGACCCCCCTGTTCACCAAGAAGCACAGAATTCTGCTGGGCCTTTGCTTGTTTATTTTTGCTTCCCGACTCTTCTCGTGGGGTTCAGAGCCGCTGAAGGGTGGGGGTGAGTCCAGGCAAGGAGTGGTTGGGGGGAAGTGCGGACCACACGAACAGCGCCACTGCACGCTCACCACAGGCGGCACGAGGAACGCAGACCACGTATGCCAAGCACGGCACGAGAGGAGGCCACGGCAGTCACAGACACAGACATCACAGCAAAGGTGGGGAAGCGGAGGACCACTGGCCCTCCCTGTGCAAAGGATTCTGGGAGGATGGGTGGAGTTTGCATATTTAAAGATAGCTGTCAGAGGCAGGGAAGTGGGAGTATGGGTCCCTGGGGAACAGGAGGGTCCTAGCAGTGGGAGGGCCTCCCAGTGTGTTGAATGGGGCTGGGGGCGGGTAGGAGAAATCCCTGCGGGGCTGGGTCGTGGCATCTGACGCGGTGGCTCCAGAGATGGGAGATCCGTGGAGAGGGCCTCCAAGGCAGGGGTTTCTTAAGGATTTCGGGAATTCTGATGGGGCACACGGCGCACTTGAGAGATCTGGGACCAGGAGGACGATTTTCCAAGAATTTCGGGGCTCCAGGAGGGGCCTTGGTGTCAGGGCCAGAACGGGTTGCCTGGTGTTTGGGAGCTTCTGGGAAGGAAAGTGCACTCCGGGGGGCGGGGGCGGCCGGGAGTAGAGGTCTTTGGGAGTTTGGAGGTTCTAAAACTGAAAAGTACGTCTTGAGGTGGCCGGGAGTGGGCTTTTGAAAGGACTTGGGGCTTCCAAAAGTGAGAACTGGTGTTAGGAGCAGGAGTGAGGGGTTCCCCAGGGACTTGGGCATTCTGCGGAGTGAGAAGAGGGATCTTGGCGGACCAGGAGAGGGCTTCTCAAGGGATTTGGAGACTCCAGAAGTGAGAAATGGATTCAGGGCCCAGAGGGGGGTTGCCCAGGAGGAATTAAGGGTTCTCAGGGTGGGGTGTCAGTCGGAGAAGAGGCTGGCGAAGGACTTCCTCAGGCTGCGGATGGTCTCAGCTTTCACCTCGTCCTGGCTAAGGCTGGGCCTGGGCGGGGCTGGCTCTGGAAGGTTGAAGGCATTGGTCAGAGACTGGGATTTGCTAGAGAGAGACAAGGTGGAGGCATGGGAGGAAGGGGGGGGAGGAAGGGAGGAAGGGGAGAGAAACACAATGTTACCCCAGGCCCGGCCCAGCCCTGCCCCTCTAGTCCTGGGGCTGTGCCTGTGACCCTCCCACCCACCCTCACAGGCCTGGACCCTGCTGGAGTCTCGGGTGGAGTTGGGGGAGCCCTGGGCCAGGCTGGGAGGACTTGGATCTAAGGTGAAGTCTGGGCTTAGTGGGAAGAGGCCCAGACTGAACCTCCTCTTCACATTCTAGGCTGGACTGGGAGGAGTTGGAGGTGCAGGGGAAGATGGGCGGGGCACTTTCCAGTCTGGGTGAGGTGTCCTGGAGGAAGCACGGTGTGGTTCGCACCCAGGACTGGCTGGCGGGGGGTGGTGGGGGGGGCAGGTCTAAGGGGGAGTAGTTGCATGTGGCGGGGAGGACTTCTAAGCTAAGGTGGGGGGAAGTCTGGAGTGCACCAGAAGAGGTAGAGAGGACGGTATGATGATTTGGGGGGAGACTGGGATGGCCCAGAGAGGAGCCTAGGCTGTAGGGAAAGCATGAGGGCAGCTGGGAAGAGCATGAAGTGACAGGACGACAGTGAATTGGGCCGGGAGGAGTTTGGGGGTTCAGCTGGGAGGAGTCCGTTTGGGCAGGAGAAGGGTGCGTTTTGCTGGGAAGGCTTCAGACGGGCGGGGAGGAAGATCTGCTGGGCAGGGAGGTACTCGGGGAGGGTCAGCAAGGCGCCAGGGTTGGGCCCAGAGGGGCTGGGGTAGGGGGTTTTCCCAGGGGCCTGTTTGGAGGACCTGGAACTAAAAAGGGGTTTCTCTGGGATTCTGGCAGGAATCTCTGGTGTGGAGGGGTGGATAGCTCGGAGGAGGGTTCTGCCCAGACAGGACATGGAGCTCTTGGGACTCCCGTGTGGGACCTGGGTCCAAGGAGCCTGGGAGCTGGGGCCACTCTCCTGGTCGGGAGCCTGTTTTGGGAGCAGCAAGGCAAGGGCTGCCGTGGGGTCCTCTTACTTGAGCTGGGGGTGCGGGGGTCCCCCGGCAGTGGCGGGTGGCGGCACGTCCTGGCTGGGTTTCTGGGCCAGCTGAGGCTTGGTGGGCCGTCCAGCAGGTCCTGGGCCACTGGGCCGCGGCTGCTGCGTGGTGGGTGGCCCAGTGCGGGGCATGGGACCCGCCTGGCTGGCCTGGCGGGTGGGGCCAGCAGGGCCCGGGGGTTTCTGGGGTGGGCCCTGGCGCTGCTGACCACCCGGTGGGGCCCCCGAGACCTTTGGCGGAGCCTGACCGGAGACGGATGTCTGCCGGGTAGCCTGTGGGGGGCCCGCCTGGCGCTGGGGAGATGGGGAGGCGGGTGGGCGGGCTGCTGGAGGTGCCCCAGGTCCTCCCGCCACCGGCCGGGATTGGCGGCCTTGACCCTGGGCCAGCGGTGGGGCCTGGGACACAGGCTGCTGGGGCGCTGATGTGGGACTTGGTAGGCGCTGGGGCAGGGGACTGCCAGCTGGGGGTCCAAGGCCCGAAAGGTGCTGCTGGCCCTGCGGGGGTGGGCGCTGCTGCAACGGGGGTCCCTGGCGTTGGGGGCCTGGGCCCGGCTGTGGAGGGCCACCTGAGGGACAGAAAAAGTGCACATGTGAGAGGTGGGTGGGGGGTCTGCCAGTCCAGTAGGGGCCCAGGAAGCCGGCCCCTCACTTACCCTGGGGTGGGGGTCGTTGCTGAGCCGGAGGCCCCGAGGGCTGCTGGGAGGTCTGGCGGCCCAAGGGCAGGGCCCCTGGGGACGGAGTCTGCGGCAGAGGAGTGGAGCAGGAGAGATTAAAAATAGTCACGGGCCGGCCTGAGCGTCAGCCAATCAAAACGACACGGGCTGTTCTTGTGCTGGGTGTTGCCTCGCCTGTGGCTGAGCCGAGGGGGTGTCAGGCCGTGTTTGTGTGTGTGTGTGTGTGTGCTGGGGGGGGGGGGGCTAGTTCCCAGGGGCTGGCCGGGAGGCACTCAGGGAAATCAGGACAGCGGCTGTTTGATCAAGTTTAAAAACGACTGCTAACTGCCACCACCCACGCGTCGTGGCAGCGCCCTCGGCCGGCCGCTTCTTAGCTCTGCGGCGGCGTGACCCCGGGCTGGCCGGCCCGCCACCAGCCGCCTCGCGCCAAGGGCCATCGCCCGGTACCAGGGGCCTGACCTGGCTGTGGGAGCCCCGGCCGGGGGAGGCCTCCCGCTGCCGCTGCCTGGGCAGGGCCTGGGCCATCTTGTTGACCACAAGCTCCACGATGAGCTGCTTGTCTTCATCTTGGTGGTCCCCGATGAGCGGCATGGAGGAGCCCACCACCTGGGGGAGGAAAAGGGGCGCAGTGAGGAGAGAGGCGGGAAGGTGCCTGGGAGGGTGACAGTGACAAAGTGCCTTCAGTTGGGGAACGGCAGGGCTGCTGCCAAGGAAACGGAGATTCAGTTTGCCAAGCACCAGCTCTGCAGTGTGAGGAAGGCTTGTGGGTTACAGGTACCTTACAGCTGGGGCGGGGGAGGGGGGGTCGGTTGCTACAGCTCAGAGCAGAGTTCCACTCAGGGCCTGTGGGGCCAAATCCAGCCCACCTCACCCCTGTTTGGGGATGGCCCCTGAGCTAAGGGGTGGGTTTTGCACTTTTGAATTGTTGGGGAAAAAGCCAAAAGAAGATTTCATGCCATGTGAAAACATATGAAGTTTAGATTTCTAGTGCATATGGTTTTAGGGAATGTGACACAGCTGTGCTTTTTTTTTTTTTCTTTTCAACATACTGTCTTTGGCTGTATAGCCCACAAAGCCCAAAACGTGCACTGTCCGGCCCTTGACAAAACGTTTACCAATCCCTGCTTTATAGTGTGCTAGGTGCTCTGTCGTTCACGAAGAACTTTGTGGCTTATATAGTACTTTACAGTTTACAAAGCTCCTGTTCTTCAAGGGACTGGGGGTATATGGTGAGTTTAGATTTCGGACAGTGCTTTGCTAGGGCACCACTGTTTACAAAATGCCTTACCACGTATAAAGCGCTGCCGTTTACCAAGCACTCCACATTTTCAAGGCACTTTAGAGTTTATAAATGGCTTTGCAGTTTCCCAGGGGTACTGCTGTCTACAAAGAACCTTAGAATGTTGAAAGCACTTTGCTTCGATAACAGGGACCTCCCGGTTTACTGAGCTCCTTTTTTTAATTTTATTTTTTATGTTTTAATTTTTTTGAAAGATTTTATTTATTTGAGAGAGAGAGCACAAGCAGGGGGAGCGGCAGGCAGAAGGAGAAACAGGCTCCCCACAGAGCAGGGAGCCCCCCGCGGGGCTCGATCCCAGGACCCCGGGATCGTGACCTGAGCCAAAGGCAGACGCTTAACCGACTTGAGTCACCCAGGTGCCCCCCAAGCTCCTTTTTATTAAAAAATAGTTTTATAAAGCACTTCGCTGTTCACGCGGCACTTCCTACTTTGTAAGGTACCTTCCAGTTTACAGAGTGCTTCAGTAGCCACCTTCTGGGCCATGGGGAACTGCACAGTTCACTGCGCGTCGCTGCCATGCGCCTCCCTCCGTACCCCCACCACTTTCCGGGCGCTCCCACCTCAATGATGTGATCCCTTCCGTCCTTGCCGTGCAGCGCCTCCACCGCGCAGATGTCCAGTCCCCCAAAAATCTCTGAGCAGGTATCCACCCACAGCTTGTACCTGCCAAGACGGGGGTGGGGGGCAGGCAGCCTGTCAGTGCTTGGCTTGGGGCGCGCCACGCTCCCCGCCACCCCCACCTCCGATCCGGCTGGGCCCCGGGCCACCCCCACCTGTCAGACATGGCGATCTGCTCGAGCATCGCAGAGCCGGTGTTGGTCTTCCAGTTTCCCGACACTGACGTCCTCCTGCGGCAGGGAGGGGGGCCGAGAGGAGAGAGGACCGAAGCTCAGGGGAGCCTGGGCTGCGTGGGGCAGGGTCCCCCGACCCCGGCCCTGGTCTCTGCACTCACATGTAGGCTTTGTAGTTCTGCCCAATCTTCTGGACACGCACGTCATATTTGGCATCGATGAAGGGCTCGGCGGTGGCGTACGTCTTGGTCAGTGCCACGACACTCGCGATGTCCTGGAAGTCGTGCTGGTTGTCCACCTTGACCTGTGGGGAGCGGGGCCTGCTGAGGACAGGGCAGCCGTGGGCCGTGGGGGCGGGGGGGGCGCCTCGGGCTGGGGGCGTGCGCACCGATGGGCCGGGGGTCCCGGGGACATAACAACCGTGTGGCACTCAAGCATGCAGGACGGTGGGCCTCCTGGCTTTCACACGGACACGAGAGACACACAGGTGGGGAGATGCAACTTGGAACACATTGAAAACGGTTGAGTTGTCCACTTCAAGTGGGTAAGTGGTATGGGAGGTGACTTTTTTCTCAGTAAAGCTGTGGGAAAATGGTGTGTACGTATAGTCCGTGCACGTGAGCACCCAGACCCAAAGTCAGTGGTACACACGATACGAAAGCAGACAGAAGCACAGACACACATTCCAAGTTGGCTTCCTACGTACACAGAGCCAGACTCCGGGGGACGGAAAGCATACAGGACCCCAAGAGCCTTGAACATGAAAGACCACACGCTGTGTGTTCAACACAGAGGCACGCATATACACAGACACAAAGCCGGCTACACGAACAAAAGAATAGGACACACAAAACTGGTTGAACGTCCGACAGAAAATTGGGCCAAGAGAATCTAAGCATGTGAGGGAAACAATACACATCGATGAAGACGCCCCAGGACACACAGTCATACAGAATGACTGGTGTGCGTTGAATGTGCGACACACACAGACACACGTGTGCACGATGCCAGGAGCGTGCACCACGCCCACGCGCACACGCACACCCCGTCTGGGGACTCACCTTGCCCATCCCGGAGTGCGCATGCCCCATCTTCACCACCACAGGGTACGTCGTGCTGCTGAGCTGGTGGGGGGGAAGGCAGAGCACGGTCAGGGCAGGAGGGCCGATGGCCAGGGGTGGGGATGCCGCTGAGAGAAGCCCATTCAGTGGGAGCCACAGTAGGAGCCATTTCCCAGAAGAGGCGAGTCAGAGACAGATAGCAGCGCCAGGTCGGGGGAGGGGGGGGTCACACAGCGTCTCTGAGCCCAGAATCGAACTCAGAGCCCTGCCTGCCTGTCCCTCCCTCCACTACCCCCAAGTGCCAGAAATTCCGCCTCTGCTTTCCCGGGCAGAGGCATGGGATAGGGGTGGGGGACTTTTCCGGAAAAGGGAAAATTTGTTTTGACAGTGAATGGATGCTAGAGAAGTGAGTGTGTGCATGTGTGTGCGTGGGGGTGTGGTGGTGAGCACGTAGTGACCGGACCCCTGGGCCAGGCCTCCTGTGTGAGCATGGTTCGGACACAGCCCACAGACCCGCACACAAACCCTCGGAACCCAGACCCACACGACCAGACCCAGACGCTCCCACGCGTGTCGGGACCCGCACGATGGAAAGACCCAGGACCAGCGCAGGCTCGGACTTGCTCTCCGGCTGCCGAGATCCGCACGGCCGGTCAGCCTGCCAGGTGCTCGCCGTGGGGGCAGGGCCCGTGCCCCTGGCCAGCCTCACCGCCCAGCAGCGCACGCGCGGGCACACACACGCGCACCCCCCCCCTCCTCTCGCCCAAACGCACACGACAGAGGGACACACACAACGTGGAGGATTACGCATGCAGTACAGAGGCACGGCCACGGGACGCAGACAGAACTGGGCACGTACTGAACGCTCACAGACACACGCGACACTCCCAGGCATCCGCACGACGGACAGGACCCACGCCACATAGAGAAGTCCGCACCCTTCTGGGTATTCACATGACCACCACGGCCCTGGGCACACAAGAGGTCCACCTAGGGACACACACACACACACACACACACACACACCCCATGCCCGGCCATCTATACAAACGGAGAGGCACACACACGGCCAGAGACGCCCACGAGCTGCCGAAGTAGAAGCCCACGCTCCTGGGTGGGCGCGCACGCACGCACACACACACATTCGGGTGTGGGGGTAACCCGAGTGCCCCGCGCCCCCGGCTGGGGGAGAGTGCAGCTGGCGGCCCGGGGCCGAGAGAGGGCATTCCTGGCATTCCCGGAGGGGCTGCTGGGGCGGCGGTGGCTCCCAGTTCCCGACAGGCACAGGAAGCCCGCAGGCTCAGGGTGACCGACTGACCTCCAGGCCTCCCCCTCTCTCCCCACACCCCCACCTTCCTCATTTCCCAAATGACTGGCATCACGACGGGGCCCTGCGAGGCACGGCGCTGGGACGGGGGTTCCGGGGGACCCTCTAGGGAGCATTCCAGGGCGACGGTGCAGAGGCTCGGGCGCCCTCGCGGCGCGGACGTGAACACCACGTCCACAGTTAGACGTGCAGCCTCCACCCGCCCTGCAGAGGCAGACGTGCGACTCCCAGAAGCAACACAGAACACAACGGGGCTACCCCCAACCCCCAGGTACACACGTGCACCGCGCGGAGGGGCACGCGCCGCCCAGGGGCGCACACACAGTTCTCAGACGCAGAGACACGGGAGAGCTGCGCGCTAGTGCACCCCCCCCCCCGTTTCTAGGCCCCTCTTTTCATAAACGTTCCTTGTTTCCGCGGGACCTGAGCCTGAGCACAGCCCCGTGTGTATGTGTGCGGGCGGGGAGCTTCGCACTCTAGGGTCCCCTGGCGAGCCCTAGGTCTGACTCTTGGCCTCTCTTCTTCCTCAGGCCACGTGGAACCCCAGGCAGGTCGCTTAACCTTCTCTGGGCCTCAGTTTCCCGATCTATACAAAGGGCACCACGAGGCCCAAGCACTTGGCATGCTGTGGCGATGGTGGGGCGTCCGCTCTGCACACGCAGCCGGTCCCCATGCGCCCCCCCAACCACCCGTCCAGCTCCCCAGGTGGTCACACACCTGGATACCCCTCCTCGACACCCCACTGGTTTCAAAGCCTGCACTAAAAGCCAGATGCCCAGAACCCCCCACGTGTAGACAGTCCGCCCGACTCGGTGCCGACTCAGGCTGCGGAGTCTGCTGGCCTCAGAAGCCGGGTCCGTGAGGGGCTTTCCCTTCCTGCGAGGCTCCCTCCGGCCAAGCGCGGACTTACTCAGCCCCTGCCTCATCCACTCTCCATCCCCGCTTTCACAACCGGCTTCCCCAAATTCCTGGTTTACTTCCCTTCTCCCCAACAGGGTCATTTCTTCATTCTCACTCCTGGGCTGGTGGCTCTTGACCCCTTGGTATGTCGCAGTTCCCTCATCTGCATAAGGAGATATGCAAGTCTCCCGCTACCAGGGAAGTTGGGAGGAACAGATTAGTTATTCCAGGGAAAGTGCTTAGCTCAGTATCTGGCACACAGAAAGTCTCCATCCTCAAAAAGTGTGCGGCACCGTTATCATTACGGGGGGGGGGGGGGCAGGCAGCCAACATTAATTAGCAAGGAGGCAGTTGGGCTTGGCTGAGAGATGAAAGCCCTCACACAGATCTTAGAGCAGGGTTTGATACCCATAAGAGCTGCTGCTGGTGGTGCTCACCGAGCTTAACCTCCCTGAGTTCAGCAAGCTTCGGGAGCCAGGGGGTAATGAAGCCCGAATGGGAGAATTTACACAAAGAATATGGGGCGCAGCGCGCAGTAAGTGCTCAGTAAGCGACTGCTAGAGCGTCGCTCCCATCACTATTATTATTGGTCGGCCCTCTCTGACTAACAAAGGATGTTAATGAGCCCTTAGAGCCCTTTCCCAGGACCCCAGAGAAGATTCAGGCAGCATCTGGAAGCTGGTGGGCAGGGATTGCCTCACCACCGCCCCCCTCCCCAGAGGTGTGGGAGGATTGGTGGGGAAGGGGCAGGGCAGGATGGGAGGGGATCTGTTTTCTACTGACTCACTGCCCTCTTTCCCCACCAGTGAACTCCCCCCCCCCCCGACCCCAATGCTCACTAATTCACTGGCACATTCCCCGCTTGCCAGGGCTGTGCCACGCCTGGGGTAAGATCCTGGCACCAATTAGCCTGCGTTCAAATCCCAGCCATGCCCTGTGATCCTGGGAAAGTTCTTCAATCCCTCTCTGCTCCTATTTCCTCGTCTGTAAAATGGGACGAATACTGGTACCCATCTCAGAGGTTACTGTGAGCTTTAAGTGAGAAAAGTTATGCTGAGTGCCTGGTACACAGTTGGTGCTATATAGATGCTGACCGCTTGCCTGTGTGTGTGTGTGTGTGTGTGTTTTTCTTAAAGATTTTATTCTAAGTAATCTCTACACCCAACGTGGGGCTGGAACTCACCACCCTGAGATCAAGAGTCAGCTCTGCGGACTGAGCCAGCCAGGCGTCCCTGCCTGTGTTTTTGAGAGGGCTTAAGATCCAGGCTCTCGGCTTTCTCTCTCTTCACTGCTTCTACTCAATCTGTTTCCTCTCTGCCTCGCTCACCCTTCGCCAGACTGTCAGATCTCCCAGGAGAGGGGTTTCTGTGGGTGCTTCCAGCAATGTTTATTAAAGGGGACGAACTCATTCGGGCTTCAGCCATGGGGAGAGCTGGGCGGGGGGGGGGGGGGGGGGGGGGCGGGGGCGGGCTGCGGGTGATTTGGATAGACTTTGGAGAAAGTTTGGAGACTTTAGGGAACTGCCCTGGGCGGGGGGGTAGTCCTGCCTCGAAGCCCTCCAGAGGCTGCCTGGAAGGACTGGTGACTGATGTGGAGATGGGGGTGGGCGGCCAGGGCGAGGCCCAGAAGGAGGGAGGGGAGGAGGGTGCATCTCCTTTTCGGCAGCCCTCGGCCCGCCCCTTGGCCTCCACCGAGGGTGGGCGGATGAGTAATGCATCCAGGAAGCCTGGAGGCCTGCGGTTTCCGCACCGCTGCCGCCCCCGCCCCTCGCGTGGACATTTATCCCCCGCTGCTCAGGCCCTGCCGCCATCGCCGCAGACCCGGCGCCCCGAGAGATACACCGCAGGTAGGCTGGGGCCCCGGGTGGCCCCGCGGGGCCTGGAGCCGGGCTGGAGCCTTCCTGCCGGACCCCTGGCTGCTCAGCCCGGCCGGCGGGTTCCGGGACCCCGGGCTGGTCAAGGGGAGGAGGGCGGGAGGGTGCTGGACCGGCTCCCCCGATTCCCACACTCCAGACTCCTTGGAACCCCGACATCTATCCCCGACTCCTCCGAACCCAGGAGCCTCTAATATCACAGCTGCCTTCCAGGCCGCCAACTCCCCTAAATTCTGCCCCCCCAACCCTCCAGACTCCTAAATCCCCAACTCCACAACTTTCTCTGCTCCCAAATCCCTCAGGCACCCTGCCCCCTTAAGTCCCTAAACTCCCTGAACCCCCAAGCTCCTCCCAATTCCTCAGCGTCTCTCCACTGCCCCCAATCTCAATATGCACAACCCCGAAACCCCAAACGCCTCCAGCTCCCCAGACCCCAAATTCCTCACCCCCAGCTTCTCGACCTTCCAACTTTCCAACGCCCCTAAATCCCGCAACCTCTCTGCCCCCTATTCTTCAAACACCACAGTCTCATGGCCCCCCACTCACCCAGTCCCTGAAATTGCTCAACTCCCAGACTCTCCCAACCCCCAGCCCTCTCAGCTCCTCTGGGCTTCCAAATCCCCGCCCCCCCTTTAAAATCTCCACACTCCCCAACCCTTCAAGCCCAGAGTGCAGCGGCTTAATCCCCTTCCAAGCTGGCGGCGGCGGCGGGGCGGGGGCGCTGCCCACGTCCGCAGAGGACCGCTGAGCCCTCCTCCCCACCCCGCAGCACCCACCATGGCACCCCTTGCGCCCCTGCCCTCCTGCATCCTGTTGTTGCTGTGGCTGCCGGCCCCTAGCAGGGCCTGTACCTGTGCCCTGATGCACCCGCAGATGGCCTTCTGCAACTCCCAGATCGGTGAGTGTACCCCACTCTGCCCCCTACACTCTGTGCTTTGGTTTCCCCTCAGTCCCGCGGGGTTC